TCATCCTCTGCCGTCCTCTTCTCCTTTGGCCTTCCATCTTTCCCAGCATCAGGGTCTTCTCCAAAGAGATCTCTCTTCAATTAACCTAAAGGCATGCATGATAATCTCATACTTACCACTATTCCTCACTATCTTGTATTTGTTGCCTGTACCAGCCACATCATTCTGGGGAATGTAGAACTAGATGATGTTAACTACAACTCCCAGCCTTCCTCGCTGAACTGTAATTCCAAGGCTCCCTCCTGTTATTGCCTGAGACTGTTGACAGTTGTTGCAGTATGGCAAGATCGGAGGGGTCGCTATTTCTTCACCTCTAGCCCAATAGTAGAGATGAATCTGAAGCAAATTTTGCTAATTCAGATTTCACCAACCTAATGACATTCAGATGTGTTGGGCAATGACTCCTCCCTTCTTGTAACGGTATGTGGGAAAGACCTTGGGAGACCCAGCAAAGAGACGCTGCCAGGGCAACAGTCAGATAAGAGACAGCATAGCCCACAGCTGGATAGTGGGTGGGGCAAGAGGCTCAGGGGAGACCCTCCCTAGTTTCTTGGGGTGTAAAGGAGATGGGGGGGGGAAGAGAATTATACTTTCATCCTTGCAAGATTGATGTCAGCCTCACAGGGTAAACCAGAAAGGAATCACAACCTGATGAGCTAATTCTACTTTATTGTAAAGCTACATTGACAGAATCTTGCAAAGATGAAAGTACAATTCTCTCCCCCATCTCCTTTACAGCTTAAGAAACTAAGAGGCCCTGAGCCTCTTGCCCTGCCCACTATCCAGCTGTGGGCTGTGCTGTCTCTTATCTGACTGTTCCCTTGGCAGCATGTCTTCACTCAGTCTCCGAAGGTCCTTCCCACATAGCATTAACACTTCTTCAGCAACTGGGCATGGAAGATGGGAACTACAGGGAAGGTTTGTGATAGTTTTAATCCTTTGGGGGATTCTTTGGAATAACTCTGGTAGTCTGCCAGAGTTAATAAATTCCCAAAAGAGGTGTATAACCTCAATAACCATAGATAGTTACTGATGCTCTAATTTTTTGGTCTCCTTAAATTCTATGCAGGTTTCAACTAAGAAGACTTAATCTTGACACTTGTTGTGATTATTATTTGGGGGGAAAGACTTTAGTAGCACAAATATAATTTCTATGACCAACAGCAAGCAGGAACAAATCCTATACAGTTAAGTCTAAAACCCAGTTAGGATGATATACTTGTATCAATTCATTTTTGAACTTGATGGAATTGTCAGAATATCTGTTTACATGGATGAAGTGCATTAGGGAAGTTTTAAAAGATTATTTTAGTTATGCCTAAGGGGATCCACGCGTCCTGTTTGGGATGATCATTGCATTTTTTGTCTTTCCATGTACAAATAATTCTCTCTTTGGATTGCTTATTCTTCCTCCATATATCTATCCTGCCTTAGTTCCAAGGAGATCAGAGTTGGGTTGCATGCATGAAGGTTTCCCTCGTGGTATTTTAAAATCAACTTTGTGAGGTAGGTAAGATTCAGTGAATGGCAAACCCAAAGATGATTTCTTTTTTTACCCTTTTTAAACTGAGTGATAATTTGGAATCAAGTCTGACCTACCAGTAACCACTCATCCTTTTTAACCAATCCACTTGCCTTCTTTTTCCACCACTGTGCTAGGGGTGAGAGATTTTCCCCATCAACAAAGTCATGGAGATTATAAAGGATCTGCAAGAAGATGTATGCAATTTTTGAGCCATGTTTTAGCCTGATTATCAGCATCAATCAAAATACATTAGATGAAATGTGACAGTGTGAATATATCTTTAAAGTATCTCCTCATTTTTCTGTGTCAAAAGAATAGATCAGTCTTCTTCAGCCAAGATGGAGAAGACATGTTGGACTTCAACACCACACTATTTCTAGCCAGCATGGACAAGGACTTCTAGAAGAAGTTCAAAATATGTGGAAGGAACTAGACTGGTGAAATGATTGTAGTAAGCAGCTGGCAATTAGAAATGCAGCAACGTGGAAGACAATCACTAGACCATTGACTGTCTTCAGTACATATTGCCTTGGCTTGGATTCCTGTATCAGCTATGCAAAGAGAGGTCAACCCAAGCTTTGAGATCTCTATCTATGAAAACGTTAAGGTTCGAAATTATTTACTTCATTCCAAACTTCCATAAAAACCTTCTGATACTTTGTTTCCCTGAAGAGACTCTAAAATGTTCCCAGTCCCCATTTCTAGAATTTGCTAAGTCAGTTTTAACATCAATGACCACTTGAGGCAAATAGCTTCACCTATCAACATCTTTCTTTCAAAATGGACTTTGAGAGTTCTGAATTTAACTTGAAAATAATGTTTACTTGAATGGAAATTGCATAACAGGACATCTGCCTCCCTCACGTTTCACCTTCATTACCCTTTTGTTTATGGGCCACCTTCTTGTGATGGCTGGTGTCCAGTTCCACCAAACTTTATTATTCCATGCAAGAGAAAATTATGGACAATGTGCCCCCCCCCCCATGTATCCACCATGCCCCACTCATTGCAACAGAAGGAACAAGTAAAACCCCATCTCCTTTGAAGAAAACGTAACAGCCTTTTGAAAGGGTGATGTGGAGGAAGGAATTGAGTCACCATAAACATACAAAACATAGCATTAACACTTTCAGAACGTGCTCACTACATGTAATCTATCTTTGATGGAAGTGATTGCAGCAATTTTCTACTAACAAAAGACAGCTATGGTTTGCAAGCAAAACCAAACCAAAACAAAACAAAGCGAAAAAAAGGGAATAAAAATACATCACACTACTCCATTATGGGAAAAAAGAGAGATTAAACACAATAAAGGGGTGGAAAATGGCAAGAAAATTGATATAAAATGGAAGTACAATTTGTAGGTTTTCCGGTGTGCAGAGAAAAAGCGGTTGACATTTTGTTTCCTGTAAAAATTGTTGATACTTTCTATTTAAAAAACCCTGATTTTTTTTTTCTTTGCTTAAATATTGCTTACCATGTAATGGTTAAAACAAATGCAGTTCCCTATTTCTTTGGGCAGGGGCATAATCCCATAAACTTTTTTTTTTCTTTTTTTCATGGAAAACTTGAAAATATCTTGAGCAATTCTTAAACTTGTGCTGTCCTTATTAAGAACAATTTCCAACTATCTTGGCCAGGATAATCCTGAACTTTGCTGAATTCTTGGAGCATCATAAATACGGTTCTATCGTAAACATGCCATTCAGATTTCAGTGTCTGCAAGATCAGATTATTACCCAGGGTCAAATAAAGGAGCACAAAATATTAGGAACTTTCTACAAAATCCCAACCCAAGGGTTTAGAAAGAGCTGCATATCAGATGCTTCCCCAGATTTTCCTTGGAAGCAAAATGGGAAGAACAGCCTGGTATCCTTTGCCCCATTTGCGTGTGGGGCACATGGGTGGAAAGAAGTTTCAAATGACACAGACCAAAGAGAAGAAAGTTCGTGGGTTTCAAGTTCTCTTTTTATTGAAGAAAAGAAAAACGAAGAAAAAAAATATATTTTTCCCCAAGTGGACGTTACTCACTGTGTTTTGTTTTTGTCAGTTTGTCTCAAAGTCTAAGGCAATGTTTTCCATGTCCTCAACTTCTCCAGGTCAGTTCACTAGGAGCTGCTTTGAGAAAGTGGATGGGCAAAAAGATGGGGCTGAGTCTTTTGAAAACAAAAGGAGGAGGGAAAAAAACCGAGTCCACGTGAGCCTTTTGTACAAAGGCCCACAATGAGTTTGTTTATGATTTACTAACAGTCAATATGATGACCTACATTCTTTTTTGTTCATTGTTTTCTTTTCCTTTTTTTAGAAAAACCCTCCCTTTTACCCGGTAAAGCAGTTTTTTGTTTTTTTGTCTAGAGACCAGTTGAATGGATCTTAATTGTCTTAAGAGAAGTTTTCTTCATTGTCCAAACATCACACTCTTGTTACTGATGCTGAAGAGTTCAGAAAAACTGGCATGGAAGAAGTTGCTTTGGAATCTTCCACCAGGACAGTCTCTTCCATGTCACTTGGTGACCCTCCATTGATCTTCTCTGAATTAGCTCATGGAGGTTGGTGGAGAAGTCCAATGTGATGAAGAGGCCTCTGTTTTGAGATTCTGATTCCTTTCTGCTGGTAATGAGGAGGTGGAAGGGTGATGGGCATTTTTCTTTCCCTCCCATCGTGGATTCAGGAGCCAAGTGGTAGTAGATTGGTGTCCAATGATTGGTGTATACTGGTGTGCAACCAGTGATCTGCTCCCTGGTTTGTTTCCCATTGAAGTTTTCTTTCAGCTTGCCATTTCTTTCATTCCTGACATTCATTATCACAGTGTGACTATCCACACCAAAAAGCCTCTGTGCATCCTTTTCACCCTAAGAATGTTTTGGAAATTTTAATCCTCCTTTTCCCCAATTTTCCTCCCTTCCCCTTGGCCACCTTCCTTTCTTCCTGGCCTCCTTTGCTACCTGGGAAAGACCATGTTTCATTCTTCACCTACTGCTACTGTGTTCTACAAAGGAATTGTTCCCCCCATCTCTGTCTACAGAGAACAATACCAAAATCGCACTGTATTTTCCTCCTTGGAGCAATAACGTTTCAGCGAGAAACCAGTCGGCTCTGCTCTCGGCATTTTAATTCCATGTCATGGGTTCATTTTCTTTCTTTTTTAAAAAAATCCTAACCTGTTTGTATTTTGTTCTTGTTTTGTTTTCCAGGGGGGTGAGGAAAAACACCCAAAGAGTCTTTTTTCTCTTCTTTCTCCTCCTCCTCAGACCTCTGTCTGGAGGTCAATAATGTCCTGTCCCACCAGGGGAATTGTTGCACCTGTCTTTTCCCACTCCACAGTTTTGAGTTCTAAGGGAGACTGAATCTCAGACTCCATCTCCTTTTTGACCCACGCTGGTGGTGAGTGGACCTTCCGGAGCCCTTCCCAAGGTCTCTTGTTTGGTGTCTGCTGCTTCTCTTGCTAGAAAGAAATCAGAGCACAGAAAGAAAAAGGAGGTTAGATTTCAAAACCAAACAGGGTTGGAGTCTAGGGCTGCAAAACTGATTGTGGTTTAGATCCGTTGCAAAACTGAATTGATTAAAATAAAAGGATGGCCTCTTTTGGCACCCTTCCGATGAGGAACCATGCTATGATATGGGCCTATGTTGACAAACAAAAGGTATTTCCAGATACTTTTCCCAGATGGGCTGATGCAAAAGAGCAACACTGTAATTGCATTGGTAAGATAAGGAGCAGATTCAGCAGGGTGCTGGAATGATTATGATGTCCTAAAAGGAGAAAATAAAACCTCACTGGCTGTATGACACTGATGTGAACCTCTCACTACCTTGCCTGCTCTTAATGAGAGAGGGAGATCCAGCCATGCTAGATCTAGGTTGATTCTTCGTTTCACCACCTGTTTCCCATGGCACACTTATAGAACGGCATGTAATTGCCCATGTCTTGGTGACACCACTCCATCTTTTTCTGGTAAACTGGGAATGATCTAGAAGCAAACACAACTGAACCTTTCCGCAAGGCAACCTTATCGATCTACGTTCAGAAAGTCCAAGATTCATAGTTCTTCCTTTAAAACTTTGAGAATTGATGGATCCTTCTGAATAAAAGAGATTACATGAGTTAAACTGTATTTGTAACATTCTGAAAGGGATTTTTCAGGGATCGGTATAAGTGCCTGAAGAGAGTGAGGGTTATTGGAGAGAGAAACAGTGCACAAAACTTGTGTCTAATTGTCACCAGGAATGGATAGGGTGGGGAGGGAAGCCTGAAGTCCATGGAATCAGGCAACCTGCCCCACCCCTCCATCCTCATTAAACATAACAACACCACACAGTTTGTATAACATTAGCATTTGCTCACATCCTGAAAAAAGCACTACACAGAATGCCACAGAGACTACAAATATATGATACAATTCTTACAACCTATCCCTAGACAAACTTAGTCAATCCCACATTTTTCTTTTCCTGGATACATTTTGGAGATAACTGAAAATCATCTTGAGTTTATTTTGGGCCCTTGGCGCCCTATCTCCCAGGGATTAATCTTCATGATTTGAATTGGAAGGCCAATGTAAAGGCTGGGTTCACACTAGACTAGGCTAAAATTGCGTTAAGTACTTTGTGAGGCACTGTGACTCACTAGATGTGATATTTAACCTTAATGTGGTCTATTGTTTGGGCATAACATGCTATTAAAGATAGGAATTGTCTTTTGTTAACCTGGATTTAGGATCTGCAACAGCTAAAAATTCCAGTCCATGGTGTTGATGTATCTGAAGGTGCCAGATTAAAGCAGAAGGCTGCTTTAAATGTTAGTTGTGTTGCAAATTTTAAGTTTCTTGATAAGCAATCTTCAGCTGGGAAATCCCTAGAGTAACAGAGACTGTAATTTACTAATTATCTTACTGCATAGAGGAAACATAGCTTAACAGTAGAGTGTATGCAATGCACGTGGAAGGTCCTAGATTCAGTCTATAGTGAGAAGATTCAGGTTCAGGTAAGAAGAATCTTAGGTCACAGCAAACCATTCCATTCAGAATAGATAATACTTGGAGAAAAAAGATGGAGAATTACAGCTTTCTATAGGTTTCTTCATATATAGCCAAGATTTGTGTGGCATATTTCCAGAACGGTCTGTTTTGTTGTCTAACACTGACTAAATGCCATCAGAAAGACCACTAAACCTGCGAATCTTTAGAATAATTTCATACTTTGTGCAATGGCAGATGAATTTTCCAACAGTTTTCTACCACAGCACTGTTGGTTGAGGTCTCTAGCAGTTCTATTACTTGGCCTATAGAGTAGGATTTATATTGCCACCTAGAACTTCCACAACTGCACCCATATTCCTCGTAATTAGACACCCTAATCAGACACCAGACCTATACTAAAACTAACAAAAGGTCTAAATTGCCCTTAACTGAAGTGTCTTTCTGCAGTTCTTCTCTTAATATCCATCGATCCTTCCCAAACTACGGAACCATCAAAGAACAGTCTTCCACTGAAATGAATTTCATACGCAGCATATATGTTACTCCAGCACTAGTAAAACTTCAGATTACTCTGATATTACACTTTTTGAAGCTTGAATAGTTAAACCTCTATTTGAATTCCTATAAAATATTTACTATCTTCCTCCTATTAGGAGGAAAAATGATGTATTGATTTTCGTCTCCTCTGCAAAGTTCCGTTATATTTCTAGATAATTCATTTTAACTTGGCTGTGAGTACCAGAAGGGTGACCCGTAGATATGTATGCCAGTGAAATTAGTATTATTATTACTTCACATTGAAAACGTATAGATGCCTATTGAAAAAAAAATATCCAACGGAGTGAAATTATGCTTTTTTCTCATGTAAGCTGCTCTATGATATCTCAGCTTGCTAGTGCAGCATAGTAAATAATACTATTTCAGCCACAAATGGGCTAGATCCAGACTTGGTAATATTTTAGAGCGATTTAAAAGTTCTGTTTTCCTGCACTGCAGCATATTCCCTCTCTTGTAGAATGAGAGGGTTGGCAGGAAGGAGTAAGAAAGAAAACAATTAAAAGGAATATATTAATACAGCCATTAATGACATGGAAAAATGTGCAGCCAGCAAAATAGGAGGTTCAATGCCAACCATTTCTCTAATGAAATATACTGTACTACTGTCCAGTTTGGAGTTGAGTGGCTAATACATTCAAATAAATAAAACAAAAAACAAAACATTGAAGTATTTCAGCAATGTACATATTTTTATGTGCACATCTTGTACGCGTTTAGCATGCCTTTAATTTTAACAAAATTAATCTCTCTCTTTCTCTCTCTCACACACACACACGGTTACATTTGAAAAACTGCAACGATCAAAGGATAACTGCATTTGGCGAGAATGACTGACGCCCCTTTCTGCTTTTTTGTTCCCCTCCGGATTTGTTTTCTTTGCTATCATTTTTCTTTTGTCTTGTGCTGCTTTTGTGTCCTTGTATTGCTCTTTGTTTTTAAATGTTTTAACAATTGTAAACTATCCAGAGTTTCTGGGAGTCGGGCAGCATGTAGATTTAATAATTTATTATTCTTGGTTGCACCGTCAGCCAGATGTGTGGACTGGATTTGGCATTTTTGTCCACCTATCGAGTCCTTCCCAACAACCTGGGAGAGGCAGATGTGGTTGTCTGATGGGGTTAAAGGGATTGTCGCAGGATGTGAGCTGTTCCAAGTCAAGCTGCCTTTTGCAACTGACGGATGGCGATTTTGTCAGTGTTGATGGTGTTCAAGTGGTGCTCCAGATGTGTTGGGATTGCACCCAATGCGCCTATAACTATTGGTATTACCTTTGCTTTCCTTTGCACCATCATTGGTAGTATCTTTGCTTTCTTTTGCCATAATTGTTCTACTTCTATTTGCAGGTCTTTGTATTTTGTGAATTTCTCCAGTTCTTCCTCTTCTCTTCTGCTGTCTCCAGGTCTTGCAACGTCCACCATCCAGAATTTTTTCTCTTTCTTATCAACAGCTGTTAAGTCTGGGGTGTTGTGTGGCAGGTGCTGGTCTGTTTGAATTCTGAAGACCCGGAGCACTTTCGCTTCTTCATGTTCTATGACTGTGTCTGTTTTGTGGTCCCACCAGTTCCTGCTTGCAGGCAGATGGTATTTCTTGCAGATATTCCAAGGCACCATTGTTGCTACTTTGTCATGTCGTTGTTTGTGGTCCGTCGGTTCAATCTTCTTGCAGCAGCTGACTAGGTGGTCCACTG